CGCCCGGTTTAATCTTGCCCGATGACCCGCCCTCGCGTTCCTCGAATTTCACTCCGATTCCCGTCCAGCAGTCGCGATTAATTATTATTCGGCTGCTGGACGAGGACTCGTTCAGCAGATCTCGATGCTCGTTATCGGCTGAGCTTGCATGTAGCTTCGCCTGTCGCGAAGCGTGCTCTTCGCGTTATGTAATTGGATGTTGACGAGGGTGGAGAAGTGAGGTTAGGTTTCGGCATTTTCGGTTTTAGGTTAGGTTGGAGTGCGGCGAGCGAGGGTTAGGTAGAACGAGTTGTTTTGGGCTTTCTGCTCATGCAGTGGAAGGTGCAGCTGATTTTGGGGATATTTATTTAGTCTTTTTGTTCTTTCGCCGGGATAGAAGTATGGTCATAGAGGCTGGAAGTTGTTAAGTATGTTTATGAGAACGCAGTAATTGAAATTGTTGAGATTCGGTTGAAATGACTCGTTTCGGACTTTATTTGTAATTACAGAAAATTGGCGGCTGTCTATTTTTAATATTCTTAATTATTTTCATCGTGCTATATTAATTAATATCGTGTCTGCAATATTTAGATTCGTAGTTTTACCGTCATATACAGAGTGAGGTTAGAATGTGAAAATTTAGGTTAGATTCTGGATAGAGGCTGGAAGTTGTTAAATATGTTTATGGGAACGTAGTAATTGAAATTGTTGAGATTCGGTTAAAATGACTCGTTTCGGACTTTATTTGTAATTACAGAAAATTGGCGGCTGTCTATTTTTAATATTCTTAATTATTTTCATCGTGCTATATTAATTAATATCGTGTCTGCAATATTTAGATGCGTAGTTTTACCGTTATATACAGAGTGAGGTTAGAATGTGAAAATTTAGGTTAGATTCTGGATAGAGGCTGGAAGTTGTTAAATATGTTTATGGGAACGTAGTAATTGAAATTGTTGAGATTCGGTTGAAATGACTCGTTTCGGACTTTATTTGTAATTACAGAAAATTGGCGGCTGTCTATTTTTAATATTCTTAATTATTTTCATCGTGCTATATTAATTAATATCGTGTCTGCAATATTTAGATGCGTAGTTTTACTGTTATGTACAAAGTGAGGTTAGAATGTGAAAATTTAGGTTAGATTCGAACTAAAGGGATTTGTTATGTAGAAAAATGAATATTTTTTATTATAGGGATTGATTTCTAGTAATTTATTTATATTTCTACGTTAATTTCATATATAATTCGTGCATAATACGATTATGTTTGTAGTACCCAGATCATTTTGTTCTTGATTTTGGCACATGTTCATCCCTAATTTATAAATATTTTCGCTCGTAGCGCGTGATTTAAATTCGAAATGGATTTTAGGAACGAGTGCAACTACAACTAGAGTATCCTCATTCGCCTAAGCTTCTGTATATAGCTAAACTCATGCGGAACCCATTTGTCCATTTCCTTTACTTTTCCTATTTGAGCCAAGTGACGAATAACGATGGAATGACTGACTTTCATTTGAAACGCTATTTCTCCTGCCGTTTGTCATGGATTATTTTCGCATGTCTTAGAACGATATTAATCGATGGCACCTTCCGGTGTTGCTCTTTACCCAAACTTCGTTAAGCAACTAATTTTCAATCTTCCCAAAATTTTCTTGGAATTCTCTCAGCTCTCCATAGCTTGAAATTTACTTTGCGCGATTAAATATTGACTTTTTCCACTTTCACGAAACAAGACGTGACTTCCAATAAGGTTTGCACATTTTATGCCATTCGTCCTTACATTTTTCTCCTTTCTCTTTTTTCCCTTGGCACGGGAGATGATTTTTGTCTCCCTTTTCTTTTATTTTTATTCTCAATACTGGTGGATACCAATACTCCAATTGCTACGAGTTTCGAATTTTTTGAAATAGATCTTCACGATTATTTTTATTATTTTAATTTTAATTCCTGTATTACGATACAATAAACCTATAACTGTGTACATTGAAATCCAGACCTCTTCGTTTAACCCTTTGCACTTGGCGATTTTTTAAGTAATAAACGAAATATTAAAAATTATATTAAAAAGATAGTAATTCGAAGATTTTCTGCCATAAAGTTGACGATATTTCTAAAACGGTAAATAAGAAATCGTATGCAAATTAAGACGTAGAATTATTTTACTTCGATATTCCACGCATCGTTGGGTAATTTTAAATTTAATATATTAATTAACATCCATCTTTAGAATCTGATTAAACGACGACTTAGAGTCACTTCTCGAGTGCAAAGGGTTAATCCGCTATATTACTACGAATTATTAATTCTACAATTTTTATTACTTCACCGCGATTCTTTTTATTATAAAAAAAAAAAAAGAAAAAATATAGTTGCTCATCAAACGAACCTATAACCACGTATGTAGTTACGCGCCATTACGACCAATACTAAGGATCGATGCAGACGTGCGATTTCGTGCGATCGGTATAGGTACCATTCCCCGTTTTTAGCCGATCAGGAGAAAAAAGATACATGGATCGTAGCGGGAAAAATCACACGTCTGCATCGTGCCTGAAGTTTCTCACCGAAAACAGTGCTTCCGAGAACCAATTTCCCACCAGTTGCCATTTTCTCCCTCTCTCGTTTCGAACTCGGAGGGAAAGAAAGGCGAGTTGATTTCGTAAAACAAACACCATCGATAAAAGGCCGTATCTCGATCGGCAAGCAGCGCGAATTAACGCGTTAAACGTTAATGGAAAGGGTAGGCGAAATTTGGAAGCAAGGGGAGAACCTTGACACCGGCGATGGTGGATTCGGCTCGCTACTATCTCCGCGTACACCTGGCCAGGTTCGAAGAAAAAATATGTTACGATCGAAATGGCGTGCGTCATCAAGCGCGTGATAAATTGCCGTGGAAATAATGCTGCCATCATTTTTCTTGGTAAATCGCGCTGCACTCGGGGCGACGGTTTTTCAGCTTGCCGAACTTATTACCAGATGAATATTGCTCCGCGGCTCCGACGTGATTAACCCAGTTCATTTGAATAGTTGCGCAAATACGCTCCCGGTTCTCGTGTTTTCTATCGCAGATGATCGCAGAACGCAATAAAATCACCCGAGGCGATTTTTGTCACACGTTTCAGCGCTTAAAGAGGCCCTCGTTAATTTCCGTTCCCGTAATTTATTCACCTGTTTTTATCTCATTATGCGGTTGCTACAGATTTACCAACGTATTCCGAGTTTTCGGTCTTCTCTTTGCAATTGTTATCCATAATTATCGCGAATGAAAATTTAGAATTTTATATTTTTAACTGTTACAGAAAATTCTTGGATTCTTGCGTGTTAAATTTATTTTATTTATTTTTAATATTTTTATTTAGTCGATATTTTCATTTCTCAAATATTTATTTTTAATAATTTATTGGAGATTTGTTCGGGATGTATTCGGGTATTTCGGTGGTGTACTTAAAATTGTTAGAATTTGGAAATTGTAAGAAATTATTGGAGAAAATTTCTACGATATTTTTAGGTTAAAGAAAATTTTTTAATTCTCGTTTGTTTAAATTTCTGAATATGATGTTCGTGGAAAATTACTTCTCTTTTCTATCAGAAAAATTCGAAATGAATAGGACGATAATGTTCGATAAAATAGTAAAAATAAATTCAGAAATTAAAAATTGCTTAAATTACCATTAGTAATCAGACATTATCTAGAAATTAGAATAAGACTAAACGCAAATTCGAACACACCTGTGTAATAAATCATCGAAATTTATTATTTTCAGCATCAAAACCGCTCATTTTAATTCTCTTGTTCGTGATTTATTCTTTCCTTCTGATCACATTACAAATTCACTATATTCGAATATTTATAAATACAATCGCAGAAGGATTATAACTCCCCTGTTTTATTTAAAAATCTGAAAATGATACAAAATAATTCTTCGTCCTAAAATTATAGGAATAAATTTACTAGTTACAATATTATAATAACTTCGAAAATCATAAAAAATAAGAACCCATATAAAGACAATAGAAATCGCGTTATCGAGTTCCATTTGTTAGTTGTGAATGAAATATTAATAACAATAAGAGCAATTCTTTATTTAATTACATAAATGATCAAACACCAATATTAAGTTTAAATATAATTAATTTATCACAGTCATATGCTCACACCTCTTCTCACAATTAAAACTCAATTGCAACTGACCTATGCCGAATCACTCTCGTTTTTGTTCTTCTTTCATTCATTTTGTGAACATACATAATTCACACAACACCTCAATCATTACACGCATACTCATTTATCATATTCTCCTCTTTTACTCCTACTCCTTTATTATATCAACATATATATATTTAAAAATCTATGTAACCATTACCACACTATTGTATGGTTTCAAAATATTGGTTTAGTCTGTCGTAGGTTCTTCAACGAGCATAAGAAAATATAAATCTATTTATTCGTATGGTACTCTTATCTGCCTGTATGAAATTTATATAAATTTGAGACTATTTGTAAGTGGTGGATGAGATATTAATAACAATATGAACAATTCTTTATTTAATTACAAAAATGAACAAACGCATATTTTAAGTTTAAATATAATTAATTTATCACAATCATATGTTCATACCTCTTTTCGCTATTAAAACTCAATTGCAACTGACCTATGCCAAATCACACTCTCGTTTTGTTCTTTCTTCTTTCATACATTACATGGCATACACAATTCACACACACTTGAAACATTACACGCATACTCGTTTATCACGATAACCTGAATTCGTTAGATATTGCCATCCCATGCATACTTGTTCCTACTCGTCCCTTTCTTACATACATCGCTCCTTTGATTATATCAACGCATATATATTTAAAAATCTATGTAACCATTACTACACCATTTTTATTATCAACGTCAGATTATCTATCGATAAGAATGTTAATTAAAATCGTAATTAATAATATTCCATATTATTTTACTCGTTTACGAGCACTACTAAATCTTTTTGTACCTTCTCTTTTTCCAGGACTATTGAAGTGTTATTGCGATATATGCACGGAAACCAATCACACGTGCGAAACCGATGGCTATTGTTTCGCCAGCACCAGCCTAGAGAACGACGTGATCACATATGCTCGGAGGTAACGTATTTGCATGCGTATTTAACCACGAGAGTAATTCTTCACTCACCAACGAAAGGAAAAGAATAAGTAAATAAGAAAAATTCGCCGATTCGCCATTTTCAGCCGGTAAAACAGGATCCTTTAGACGATCGATTCGTTCTCACAAATTTTCCCCAATTATCCACCATTTCTAATCGTCTTCTTAACCCTTCGATACCTCGACAATTGTATATTAATTATTTTACGTGATTTTTCACCGATCACGAAAATAAATGAATTAAACGATCCCTTTTCGATCTATATATCACGATCCTTCAGTCGATCTATAAATTCTGGCAAATTTCCCAAAACTTCATTGTTTGGAATTTCCTTTAACCCCTCGATATCTCGGTAATCACGAATAAATTCGACTAGTTTTATCAATTATTCGAAATATAAAATATTCCATAATTTTGGAATTTTACCTAACTTTTCACTCACAAAAATAAAGGAAATTGTTTCACTATCGTTTCACTGTAATAAATCACGATCCTTCAGTCGATCTATAAATTCTGGCAAATTTCCCAAAATTTAATTATTTGGAATTTCCTTCAACCCCTCGTTATTTCAGCAATCACGAATAAATTCGAGTTGTATCGATTATTTAAAATATCGCATAATTTTCGAATTTTTCCTTACTTTTCATCCACAAATATAAAGGAAATTATTTCACTATCGTTTCACTATAATAAAACACGATCCTTTCAGTGATCGATTCTCGGAAATTTTCTGCAAACTTCGTGATTTGGATTTCTTTCTTTTAATCTCTCGATATCTCGACAGTCACGGATCGATTACACAATTTTGCACAATTTCAAATATCTCGAATTATCCAAATGTTTATATATTCCACGTGTATAATCGAGCGTAGATTAACACGGGAATTTGTACGTTATGCGAAATTGGATCATTCGATAAATCTCGCGGAGATGTTAAGTCGTAACGTTACAGGGCGAACAATGTAGATGCTCAGTGCACGATAATTGATTTTACCACACCTATGGAGGTAAAACAGCGTCTGTTTGACATAATCGCGTTATCTGGTATAGAAGCAATATCTGTTGGCGATTATCGCGCGAGGCAGCAAACAATGTGTTCCCGTCACGATTATCCGGCAAAAATGATGTTTCGACTTAATATCAGCGTTAATTGGACGATATTGGAGAATAAATCATGGCCGGAGCAATAAAAGCAGCGATCAACGGTGTACGTAGCAGTGAAACTTCTCGTTATCGCGTTCCTTCGTGAAACGCATCGCGTGAAGCGTACAAAAATATGTCAGATAAGGATTATCGTTCTTACATAATTGTCGCTTTAAATTACGCTTGTTTTATCGAGCATCGCGTAACGGATTCGCCGTGAAAAATTTCTGAATTAGAGCTGTCCGAGTATTATGGGAAACTGAAATAAGCCGAATTATGGTCGAAGATTTACGAAGCTGTTTATACGGAGTATTTTCGTAGAATTTACAGAGGATCAAAAGAAAAAGATCTCTGATTTTCCAAATTTCAATTTAAATTTCAAAATCTTTAAAATTTGGGATTTCAAATTTTTAGAGATTTAACGTTAAAAACGTTTGATTTTCCAAATTCCTCAATTAACAATATTTGGAATTTCTATAGTTCCATAGATTTAATATTAAAAAGCACGGATGTTCGGAATTTCGAAATTTTTTACATTCGAAATGTCTGAATTTTCCAAGAGACGAAGTAAGATATTTCCAATTTCCTTCATTTCTAAACTTTTAATTAAGTTTAGGAGAATCAGAATTCCCAAATTTCCATAGATTTATTATTAAGAAAAAAAAATTTCGAAAGAAAAAATCTTTGATTTTCTAAATTTCAAAATCTTTAAAATTCGGGATTTCACATTTCCATAGATTTAACGTTAAAAACGTCTGATTTTCCAAATTAACGAAATTCAGAATTTCTATATTTCCGTGGATTTAATACGAAGAATCTCAATGGCTTCAAATTTCCAAATTTTTTAAATTTGAAATATTTGAATTTCCCAAGGTACGAAATAAGGAATTTCCAATTTCCTAAATTTTCAAACATCTAATTAAGTTTATCAGAACCAGAATTCGCAAATTTCCATAAATTTATTATTCAGATCCCCTGATTCTCCAAATTTCCACGTTTCTAACCTCAATCACTGGAAAACTTTAAAATTTCGATATGTCTGAAATTTCAAATTTCATATTTTCAATATTTATTGATTTCGTTGGTAGAAAAATAATTCATAAATACCTAGAAGGAGACCATCGATCACGCAATCAACAGAATTCTTTATCTCGATTGACGAAGCAAAATTTCAAAAAACATGCACGTGTCGACCCATCGATCGAGTACGTAGAAAGATTCTGATTGCGAGGAGCCACTTGGCAGTCAGATATTTTGGGTACTCGGACAGCTCTGATTCCCTAGGGGTCGCATCGATCCCCTGTTCACCACGAAAGGAAGTTCAACGGTCCCGGTCCGTTACCGATCGATTCCCTCGTTGTAGTTTCCAGGAACGTTTAGCCGCCTTTTTTCGGTTGGCCCTGCGAGGCATGATTAGCGCCTGTTTCGGCAGTTTCGACGGAAACGAATTATTGTTGTCGGCCGGTGGTCGCGTTGGTAACGCTTCGCGTGGCCGTTCTCGCGTTTCTCTCAGCCACGAGCGAAACAGGAAATCGAGAGGTCTCGTGAAAACGTCAGAAGCACCTGCGATCCATGCTCTACCCGATTCTTTTTTCAGTTGCTTCTTTCTTCTCGATTTACGCGTGGGGGTAGCCACAGAATTCGTTCTAGGGAAATTCTAACAGAACGCTCAAAAATGCTAATTAGACATGGAATTTTTCGCAGCTTTATTCCCCTTTGAATCAATGAGGAAATTCGTGGTATAGGTGGATTTTTGAATTTTCCCGCCGTTTGCGATACACCAAAAATATTGAAAATATCGAATATGTTAAACCTTTGTATTTATAATTTTTCCAATTTGTTTCCAATAACTGTTTATTACTTTGGTACGAGATCTTTTTCGATTTTATTCCTTTTTAAATAATCAGTGCCGTAGCTAGAGTTTTTGTTATTAGAAACGGTATCACAGTTTTGAATTTTCCCGCCGTTTGCGATACACCGAAAATATTGAAAATGACGAATATTTATGTTAAACCTTTGTATTTATAATCTTTTCAATTTTCTTTCCAATAGTCGTTTGTTACTTTAGGATGAGATTTTGTTTAATTTTATTCCCTTTGAAATAATCAGTGGCGTAGCTAGAGCTTTTGTCACCAGAGACGGTCTCGCAGTTTTGAATTTTCCCGCCGTTTGCGATACACCAAAAATATTGAAGATATCGAATATGTTAAACCTTTGTATTTATAATTTTTCCAATTTGTTTCCAATAACTGTTTATTACTTTGGTACGAGATCTTTTTCGATTTTATTCCTTTTTAAATAACCAGTGCCGTAGTTAGAGTTTTTGTTATTAGAAACGGTATCACAGTTTTGAATTTTCCTGCCGTTTGCGATACACCAAAAATATTGCGAGAATTAAATATGTTAATCCTTTGTACTTCTAATTCCTTATTATTTTAAATGTATTTTGAGAGATAGGTAGTTGATGGGATAGTTACCAATGATCTGGGATATAAGAAAGGTTTCGGTGGACGAGAAAAATCTCGCGCAATTCATTTTACATAAATATAATTGCCGTCTAGAGAAGTACATCCGTTAAACTCGAACGATCAAAAGGAAGTGACGATTTCACGGTTGAATCGTTTAATACGCGCACATCGTACATCGTAGATGGTGTGATTCTATGACTAATTATTGAGTTAGCGACGGTGCTGCCTCTGGTGGTATTTTATATCCGCCCCTTAACAATTGCTTTATAAATGTATTTTACTATATGTATATAGTATATATATAGTAAATTATACTATAATTATAATAAATAAATAAATGTATAAAATTATAATATATTATATTTATAGTAAATTACTATATAAATGTATTTCTAAAATTTTATTCCATTTATTTGTCACTCGATTTTCCTTTCTTCTTCATAATACCTACTAATAGCGATCGACTTGTTTCAAACGATTATTTATATACTTTTAAATTAAAAAATCTATAGTCGATTATATCTCTGTCTCAGTAACAAAGAAAATTTGGATTGTAGAGGATTAAATAAATTTTTGTTATTAATCACAGCACTTGATAATTAACAGCATTGGGATTTTACATGGATATAACATTCGTGCAGTCTTTAATTACATTTTTAATTACAGAATATAATCGAAGTGGAGTCATACTCTGCAAAGGAGTTCAAAGTTCATTTATTAATCGGGCAATCGAAATTATCGAGTTAAAATAGATAAAAGCGTCGTCTGGAGAAATAAAATTGTGTCTAGCTACGTCATCGCGAATAATTATCGCAGTTTGGTTGTCTTTTTCGAGGTTATGTATATCCTTTCATTGGCAAGACATCGTTAATCGATATCGTTTTCGTCGCGGACAAAAAGGTTCCAATGGATCGAGATTTCAAAGGCTCTTGGCGATGGCATAAACGTGGAAAAATCAGCTGAATCAGTGTTGGTCTTTGACTCTGCAAACGACGAAACTTTCTTTATTATCGATGAAGATAGCCGTCTGATAGTGGCGTAAAAGTTCTTATTATGCTTCCACTGATAGAAAGGATGCAATAATATTTGCTTGAGAAATCGAGGTTAACAAATATGATATAGAATTCTTTTCTCCTTTCAAATCGTGTAAAATACGTTGCAATTGCATTTATGGAATTTTATACTCCTTCCATTTAAAGACAAGATGGAGAATTGCCGCCATTTCGAATTTTTCGGTTCATCACCTGACGTACATTTTCTGCTCGTACTGTATTATAACAAAGATAGGAAAAGTATTAATAAATACTCTAAAGAATAACACAAGAAAATAGAAAATTATTTTAAACGTGAAAAATTACGAATCTTGAAT